GCTAGCTTGTTGCCATGACAGAGCCTTACCAAATTACAAGTGCACCGTGTTGCCAACTTTTGGACCCTGACTTATGGCCAACTTTACTAGAGGACACGTTTAACAGCGTTAACACCTTCTATGTGAGAAAACCAAACTATTTGCTGTATTTTTTATTTCTGAAGAACATACAGCGTTAATCTCCTTTGGCTTTAATGGCCTATTATTGCTTAACACATTGTTACGCTTGCATGGTCATATTTATACTACAGCTATTCCATTGCATTATTTCTGTTCATCAGTCGCTGGAGGCGCATTCTCAGCCTCTAAGCTATTTCGTGATCTTGCAACAACATATGCCTTGTTTGAAAAGATTACAGGCTTTTAATTTCCGCTGCACATTAGTGACTAAACCCTCGGGTTGACTGATATTCTGGTCATTTTTTTAACTCTGCCCTAAGGAAGCCAAACATGCTAAACAAATTCTTTGGTGTGGAAAAACTGATATGGTTTTATATGGAATTTATATTATTATAATAATACATGTTATTTATATAGCGCTTTTCCTGGTGCTCATAGCGCTTTACAAGCAAGTAAAGAAAAATAACTACAAAGGTAAAAAGTGCTACGCTAGGTAGAATAGGGGCAAGCGTTTAGTGGATTAGGAGTTTATGGCAAAAGTGAAAAGGCGAGTTTTATTATGCCAATAGTCAGTGAGCTCAACCACCTGCATTGACCTTAAACCATATACTGATGATTTGACAGATAGCTGAGAGCCTCTTCCACTAACAGGCTGACCCTCACCAATTCAATTAAATTCAAAACCTTTATTTATCCAGGTAAAATCCCATTGAGATCAATGATCTCTTTTTTAAGGGAGACCTGCAGCAGTAGGTTCACATCTGCTCCAGCTCATACAGGGAGGGAACATACAGGAGGGAAATATAGGGAGATCATGGAACTAGGCTATTCTCTTAGAGAAAAAGGGGTTGTAAGAAAGACAGTTTATTTATTAAATTAAATCATTGTCTCTTGATTTAAATTCAGCAGTTGCATTTACCATATTTCTGATTGACTTGCATGCTTTGTTGCTGAACATTTGACATATTTCACTATGAAATATATATGTTCATTTCAATTCAAAATGTAAATGTTGTCAAAACCACCCACCCACTTGCTATTCTATCCCCTGTTGTAAACATAAAGCATTGCATTAACTACATGAAACTATTACCAAGACATGAGAAAGGCAGGGTAATAGCAACATTTATTTAACTTTTTGGATGCTATGACTTAGCCACAGTTTGCTAACACTATACATAGCTAATACATTTCAAAACAGACATGCACATTACTAACTGGCTAATTGCAATTCATGTAGAGATGAAGAACCCTGTGTACACTTTGACCCTCTTTCTAAAAAGTGAAACATTTTAGCTATCAGGTATACCACAGCTTTTAACCAAGATGCTAGGTATTCACTGTCATTGCTATTAATACTTGTGTCTGACTAAAAGGCCAAACACCTGTTTTCAGCTAGTTTTGCTGATGCTAGCTGCCACATGTTAGCTTTATGCTTTGTTATTGTGAATAGAATCTAAGAATTGGACATGGTTGACAACACTTTAATTTAGGGCTGCTCAATTATGGCAAAAATCATAATCTCGATTATTTGGGTCAATAATTGTAATTGCGATTATTAAATGCGGGTATTCATTGACTTTGAAAACATCCATTTATTGGAGAAAAAAAATGTGAACAGTATGTTTTTAACAGTTGATTACCCTGAACTTTAAGTATAATTCAACTGAAAAAACAAAAAATAAAAAATAAATAAAATCGTTTTATTTTGATTACGTTGTATTCGTAATCGTTGCAAGCCATAATCGTAATCGCGATTAAAATACGATTAATTGAGCAGCCCTACTTTAATTGGTCTTTTTGCCAGCTCTTATTTTGGCAGGATAAATATTAGGGATGCACGATATTGGTTTTTTGAAACCGATACCAATAACTTCCTGCTTCTCAAGACCGATACCGATAACCGATAATAAAAAAAATGTTACGCCACTAATTATTTTAACGCGATTAACGCACGTGTATTTTTTTTCCTTGGCCGCCCCGTAGTTTCAGAGCGCATTGAGTTTAAAATACCATCTACAAGCTGATGCTGACAGCCCCGCTCCTGCCGCCCGCTTGTGGCAGACCACACTTCCACGCTCACCGGCAGGCACCGACTGGCCATCTGGAGGACCGGGAGGGTGTGTGTATGTGTGGCCCGAGCGAGCGAGAGAGAGACCTTACGTGCATTGTTGTTGTTAGCATCTGGTGCTAGCTAGCTGCGCTAACGGATATAAGGAGCTGTTTAAATGAAAACAGAGGAGCGACATTTCGCCACAACTGCGCCGAGCACTTGACTTTATGCAGGAAGCCAGACAGTGGGACATTGTACGAAAAGTCAGCACACTCAGCTCGGATAGTGCGCAACATGATTGCAGCGTCCAGGCAGCTCCGGTTCGAGCATATGCCTTGAGTTGCACATAGCTCCAACGCCCATACCACCGACGACATGTTTGTTTACTGTCCTGGCTTCACGGCCGCACACCATTTACGTCACAGCCAGGCATGAGTTAGGGAGCGCTGGATTTGTGAAGAACTCCCCTCTTCCTAAACCACTAATACCACAGTACTGGCAAAACGGGAGGAGCCGAGTGAAAAACAAGCGCCCCTCATCCCAATCCACCCACACCGCAGTATTTTTTTCTTTTTTTTTACCCAAAACATATATTGTATATTATCGGGGCTATTAATACTGGTATCGGGTTTATCGGGATGACGTCATAATTCCTAATATCGGACTGATAATTATCGTGCATCCCTAATAAATATATTTTGGAGTAACTATTTATCTCTTACACAGAATACCAACATTGGACATCATTTATATAATTACATCAAGTTACAGAGTTTGCATTCTTCATGTGTTTTTTAATTCAGTATAAATTGGCATGTAGCAGCAAGTCGGGCCTTTACTGCTTAATCCGCAGTTTTGCAGTGAAGATAGCCCGTTCATAAATAACTAACTAACCTACAAATAATTACTTTCATTGAAGAACCATCCTCTGAAATGTGAGATTCCTCTTATGATAATTTATGTTGAATGTGTTAAACACTGGCTGCCACTAGCTCAAGGAAACAGCATGGAATCTGCAGTATTTAAAAAAAAACAAAAAAAACATTATAATTCTTTATTTCTTGTCTTTAATTGATAGTAGGCAGTTAAGGCGTCAACCATTCCTGAGAAAAAGAGAGAGTTAGAGGGGCATGACATCAACAAGGTCTCTGAACTGAATGAACCCCGGGCAGCTTTGTGGTATTCGGTTTGCACTCGGCACTAAGATCACACCTTCATGAAAATAAATTGTGTTAGCATGTGTTCTTGGCGGGCCAACTGTATTTCAGAGCAAGGCACACAGCAGGGCATAGCAGCCTGGCATCTCACTGGGATAACAGAGAGGAAGGAGAGCCGAAAGAGATGTTGGCAGCGTATGAATACTGTTTGTTAGCCTATGGGATAACTTTTCCGCCTAGTTTGTCCACAATCTGACCACGTTCTACACCTGACTGGTGTAGAAGACAAGTTGTCAAAAATGACCTATTGCATGCAGATTAGAGCACCAACACATATTATACAGAGCGTGTGGCTTTTCTACAGTATGTAGATGGATGTTAATAATTGACTTACTCCATCAGTGAGAGCTGGTTTACTCAGGTTTCAGTTTGAATGGATGTGAATGGTTTACCTTTTAGTTTGGTGTTGGCTACAGTTCCTTTTTTAATTTAAAAAAAAAAAAGTGCATATCCTCCAGCTATAATGTGAAATACCTTTGTGAGCTCAACAACATTCCGGAACCCCCGTCCCAGATTTCAACCTGCTGGCAGCGTGTCAGCCATGTTTCTGTGTCTGCTGGTTTCTGAATGCACTGATTCCCATCGTCTGTGAAGAGTGCTCATGAGTCAGCGGGCCTGGGCAACATCAGTCTTGCTGATAAGGCAATACTTCTGGTTGTTTCACAATCTTATGATCATGATAAAGCTCAGGCACTTTAGGTTAATTTCATATTGGCATTCACATAAGTTGATGGGTCATTATTGCTCTAAAGAGACATTAGTGAACTGTTATCATATTTCCTTTTCTTTATCTCGGGCGATAACCACTCACATTGCGTTCGCTCACTAGAAAATCAAGGACATGGATAGGTGAAGGGCTTTGTTATCATTGGTTTATTATTCCACATTCATATTATTAGAGGTGTGGGATGGTCCATAAAACCATAATGTTGATTGGTAATCATATCACTGAGCGTTTCATAGGAGCCATAAACTGCGGTTGACCGACAGTCAGACTGAATAAACGACTGAAAAACTAGGCTATTATATGCTGTCTCGTTATGGTGTTGCATTACGAAAGAAGATATCGATAACAACCTGTACCTTCTATGACATGCCCTTCTTTGGATGAGATTGGACCAGAAGAAAGAAAGAGATTTAAGACAGAAGCTGGATTTTAACCCAGGAAGTGTACATGATACTGTTACTAAGCTAATTAGCCTTAAAGTTGCTCAGAATGTTTTTGGGAATACAGGAACATCAATTTAAATGTCACCTTACCATATTGCATTATAGTTGAGTATATCATAACTGCGCTGTGCTAGCAGGTGGTTGCAGCAACCATTACTAGACAGCCGAGCTGACCAGAACAAGCTTTTTGAACATGACTCACCGTTCTCTCTGAACACACTGACTTCTGACAAAGCGTCCCACAACAGTTAACGAAATCCCCACGACCGCTGTAAGCGCCAGTAGTCTATCCCTTCATCCTCCTCCATGCAAGGAAAGCAGTGTGTTTTATTCTTCATGAAGCTCTGCGTACAGTATGGGCAAAGTGTGTGGGTGGGTAATGGTGACTAATCCCATTTGTAGTCATTCTGGATCCCTAGTGGTCACTGAGCCCTTAATCTCTGTGGCAAGAAAGATCCCCACAAACTAATCTCAAGCCTGTGTCTGTCGGCTGAGCCTGGTGGCAATAGTGTTTTATCTTTCTGTGAATGAATCTGGGGAGTAAAGACAACACAACCTTCAATTATGCTCATCCAAACGCTTACAAAACCCCTCTGTAAAGCTCAGATTTAAAAAGAATATGGGCCGCTGACAGGGAGACATTGAAGGGCTGGACTCATGTTGTTGACCTGAAAATGGTATGCTCAGCTACTCCTGATCCTCCTCCGTCCATTCATTTACTCCAGAGGCTCGGCTTGTTTGTTGCCGGGGGTTACGCTTGTTGCTGGGCACAATGTCGGAGCACATGCAGCTCTCTCTTGCCTTGTGCAGGATTGGGCTTTACACGGTAAGAAAATGCATCCATGTTTGCTCGAGAATGGCTCGGATGTGTGTGTGTGTGTCTTTGTGTGTTGGATTGAATACTGCTAGTTTCAGATGGGTTTAATATGTCCTTGTTGTGTTTTAAAACAGCTATTGACCAAGCAGTCACTGTTGCTTGGTCACTGAATGAGGAGTGCGCTCCATTTCATTCGAATGGGTGTTCACGTAACATTAAGGTGGAACAGGTGGATGTCGGTACTGTCCAACGTAAAAAATAAAACCTAAGGAGAACAAGCTTTCTATTCTTAGAGAACGGTCTTTTATTCAAAGATAGATTACGGTCCCCTTTGTGTCCTGCGGTTACTAGCGACTGGCTTTGTCCATGGTTGTAGTTCAGGCTGTCTTAAGTACGGTGCAGGCATGAATGGGTCCTGGTGCCACAGAGGCAGTGGTGGACATATTGTTGAAGTTATGTTTTTTTGTTATTGCCCTGAAAAACCTTTGATTAGATTGTGATTTTGAATGTGTAAAACAATAATACAAAACTGTAACATGAGAATTATTATACAATACAAAATTAAGCAGTGTCAAATTCATAGACAAAAATATGACTGATTCTAAATGATGTGTAAACAAATCACCTACTTAATTGCACATCCGAAAAGGGTGACGATAACACTGTAGTTTTGTGATAATGAACTTTAAGGCATTAACATTTAAGTGTGTATTTGACTGAATTGTCATTATTTTAGTAAGAAGAAAAAACTTGAAGCCAAGTTGTTGACTTTATTATTATTTATTTGAACCATGTTTATTTTAAATAGTTGTATATTAACTGCAGCGGATGACTCATGTTGCGTATTGTCAGGACCTCTGTTATTCCCTGACCAGCTGGTGAAGCTTTCTCAATGAACATCAACAGAGAAACCTGTTTATATAATCTATATTATTTATATCAGTCTTTTGTGGCCTTCTTGTTCTACATGTAGGCAGATGTATTTGACACTTTGTATGTGTGTGTGGAACGGCATTTCTCAAGCTTTTGAAGACTTTGAAAGCTGGTAATATTGCTGATAATAGCTGTTGTCAGTGGCAGTTTGGCAAACTATAGCTGACCTGTTTACTTCTAGGATTGTTACCCATCATATCCACTGGAAATGCTTGCATTGAATTCTAGCTGACGGCTGTCTCACTGAAACTCAAGTGAGGGTTTTGTCTAGGCTTTCATTTCCTGCTGGCTCAGGAGTCAGAAGGCTTCATCCTCTGGGGAAGATGAATGTTCACACAATACTGACAGACGTTGCTAGAGCCATGCTGCTGTGTGACAATGTACTTTACAATAGTATATCAAATAGGCAGGTAGCATTCGACATTTATAATCATTTCAACTTGTATTCTTTTGTAGCGTAAGTTACAAAGGTCTACATTAGCTCAACAAGCAGGAACAAGACATCGGGGTACAGCATCGAGAATGTGAAATTGTGAAAAATGTGAAATAACATATTTTAACACAATCTTTGAAGTGAGTGCGTTCCATGCCGGTGAACAGAAAGTCAAATCCCACGTAGACATTTGTTGTTAGTTTGCAGCCCCTCACTAAGTTATATTGTGGGATAACAGAGTGCTTAAAATGGGGATCGATATAATAAAAAGGCTACCATGGAGAGGTTCAAAGGACTGATTATTTGGATTGGCTCGCAGGCGTTAAGATCCAAATCCCTGCTGAGTCACCACAATATCCTGTAGTGATGTACAAAATAAAACCTCTGAGTCTGTGCGGGAGAGGAATGGTTTGATCCATTCCCAGCACTGTTGCCCGTCTGCCTTACACATGTATAACGGTGTTACAACAAAGAAACAAGCCCCGAGTCCAACAAATGTAGTCATTAAATATGAAATCATGACTTTGCCGTTAATGCAAACGTTTTAAGAAAAGCTCTTCTTGTTCTGTATACTCACTTCTAACTTACTCCATCAGCATTTCACAGCACATTAGCAGTTTGCTCTGCAGGTCAAACCATCGTCTCTGGCTCTGAACTGTCTCTGAATAACACTTGTTATGACTCGAGTTAATCGCTCTGTTTTTCTCACTGTTCACGCTAATAGTTCTGTGTGAAGGCAGCCTCTCACAGAAGAGACTGCATGTTCAACTATACCTGCCAGACATTTACAACCTCAGTCACAACATGCAATAGGCAACAGTTGGGGGAAAGTGCTGGCTTGGTTGGTTTCATGTCGTATTTAAGTCTATCTTCTATAATCTTTTCAAAAATGTCTATCACAAAATGCAGTATAAATCAATCAGGTCTGGTGATTTTATTATTACTTTTTGTTCCCCCGACATTCCGAGACTGCAGTTAGTAATTGATGAAGTTCCGAGCAGGTGCCATGAGGCATTAGTATAAGATATGAGCATGTGCTGTGGTGCCATAGCTCCTGCTCTTTGGAGCCTGTCTTTGCACGCTGCCTCCACCATTAAGGGTCTAAGTGATCGTATTAGGCGCTTCTTGGTCACCTCATTTTGTTTTTAATGGTGTGGAAAACGGCTGCTCCACTGATTTTGTGGCTCCGACCCCCAGGCCACATTAAACCAAGCGGTTTCATGCTTAATTTGGAAAGAAACCGAGTTGCACACGACCTAACCTCAAACAAGATGAATGCTGCTGCAGGACTTGTTGAACTGATTTTGTGGCTCCGACCCCCCGGCCACATTGTGTGGAAACAAAAGTGTTTTTGGTTGAATTATTAAATTAATGTTTCATGTAATAGTTATTTTTCCTCAGCACATTTGTTTTAAAATCACACTTGATCACCTGGATCCTGTCTTGTGGTTTTCTTCTTTGTTCAGAGTTCAAACCTTTCAACCCAGATAGCAACTTAGTAACAGAAAGCTCCTTAACTTCGGTTGTTAGGCCGGCTTGCCATTGAATAGATAACTGCTAGATTTTCCAAATGGCTTCAAAGTTCAAAAAGACCCCTTGGTTAGTGTCGACAGTGGGAAAACACACATTATCAACCATCATGCTCTTCGAGCTGTCACATTACATTTCTGGTGTGAACTCTTCAACTCTTCTTTACTTTCTATTTCAAGTGTAACATACGTTTTATATAGCAGATGTCGGTTTTGTGCACTAACTTCCTCATTTCAAATAGATGTTTTTTAATGGTTATATTAAACAGAAACCTTCTTAGCTCCCCTTTAGGAAGACAACCCAGGTTTGAGGAAGTCCTTGCACCCAACTTTGACACTAGGTTGTTATTGTTGTTGGATAAAAAAAGTCATCCTGTTTCCACAAAGACATATTTTTCGCTCCCTTAGATGCCGCGGTCGTTGGGTGTAATCCATTCATCTTGTTAAGACTTTATCTACCGGATCATAACATAACCTGAACCCAGAACTCTAGGGATTATGTCTTGTTAGAACTGATCCACCATATTTGTTGTTTACTCCGTACAACACAGAATTTTATGTAATAATGGAAATGTGTAAAAAAAAGTCAATCCCATGGTACTTATTAATCAAAAGAGTTATTGCTTTTGTGATACCTATTACAGTATGTCAAGTATGAAAAGTACCTGCAGTAAATAAACCCCTCTTTTCACAGCGTGTGAGAAGCACACATGTCCAACCTGCTTCCGCCCTTTTTGAAAGGCAGGATGGGAGCAGCCAGTGCTCCATCCCCGGCCACAAATATCCCACCACTCAAAATAACCACAGGGCCTGGTGGGATGATGATTTAGAGACCAGCAAGGCTCACCCACCCACTACTGAGTACTGTTTCTTAAACCCCCGCTGCCAGTCCTCACCGGGCTGTTTTATTGCCTCAAGGACATTTTGGGAGGGAATTTGGCTCCAGTTGTTTAGGAACCAACAAAGAATAACTTCCTGTTGGAGACGTATTGGCTGACAGAGCAGGGCGGCGCCACATTTGACCTTTGTGTACCGTTTGTATACCAGGAAACTGGAACACATTTATTCATGACAACATCCTTTCTATTTCACGTATTATGCAGTGGTCATGCCCAGCAGTGGAGGTACATTGTGTGGACTTTATGAATGGCTTGATGTGTGAAAACTGTTGAAAAGATACATACACAAATAAACCTTCTTTTTTGATTTTACACATTCTATCAGGAAGATGTATGGAAAGTAATGTATGTGTGACACAAAGAGGAAATGTATTTTGCTTGGCTGGTTTATCTTGTTTTTCACATCTAGTGCTGGCTAGTCAAGAAGTTGATTTCAGAGATTGGAGGCGTAGTTTTATTCAGTGAGGCAGCAGCTCTGTCTTGAGGAGCAGCCCACTTTATAAGGCCGGCTAGGCATGGAAGCAGGGCAGAAACATGGAGACAATTAGGGTGTGTTCAAATAGGCATCCTAAAATCTATTTCAAAACAATTAAATGAAGGAGCATCTTCAGTGCAGCTTGTAAACTTCAAGAGTTACAAATAAATCTTGTTAATCACAACACAACATAGCGTGTATCTTAAGAATGTGGTTTAAAAGTCTGACTTATTTGCCCCCAGGCTCAGTGGCTGCTAAAAATCTCATTTAGCAAAACTTGATCCTAAATATGAACCAGCTATAACTCCAAATTATTTTTGAAGTTTGATTTATTTTGAATTTGACAGTACAAATGAACTTTTTTCCTACATTTGTGTAAAAGTGCAGCGATAGCCTGAGCAGGTGGCAGATGATTTGAAAAGACACGACCCTTCGGCATCGACAGCACATGTGGAATTTCTAGAAATAATTTCTGCTTTCATGCAAGTGAGACAATGAACGTTTACCAGACTGAAAGAAATACAGGAAGAATACCACCAGCTTATGTTACTTTCAGAGAGGCAGAACCACTTCCTTTAGCTTAACAATCCCCTTTAGAAAGTTACCCTCAAATAACAATACTTAGAGTAATTATGTGTGTCTGGTATGGTTTTTCCACAACATTGCATTTCTTGAATATAAAAATCTGTTTCTTAGTTGACATGCTAAAACTATATGCACTGGTATTTTTATCACAGTTG